CAACATGTGGTGCAGGAGATTAAATTATAAATTACATCATTTAAAAATTAAGAAAAAAGCTCAGAAAGGTTACATTGTTCGCATCTATCTATGCTGTAAACCTGTACGTTTATTAACTCGTCAATGTTAAAAATTAAAAATTATATATTATAAATATAATTTTATCAATTTTAAGCCGATCGGATTACCTTAATCATTAGATTAACCGCACAGAAGCTGAAATAATAGTATATACGATTATAGGCTGTCGAGATAAAATAGATGAAGATGGTAATTCTTCATCAATCACTGTTAAGCTTAAAGATGGTACTTTTTACAAATTATACTATTTCTTATGATTGATTCTTCTTTAAATTTTAATTAAATACATTATATATTTTTTAAATTATTAAGCAGTTTAATTCTTTTTATTACGTTAAGTGATTCTAGAAGCAGTGAAGTTTATCCCTTTCTCTAGGCAATATTTTAAAAATTTAATTAAGTAAATTAATTATTTATAATTTTTAATAACATTTATATATTAAATTTTAATTTTAAAATTATATTTAAATTTCGATTTAATTATTTAAAAAAGAAAAAAATCTCAAAAATCTGATTTGGAAAATTGCTAAGTTTAAAGATAATGAAGATGAAAAAATGGATATAACTTTTAAATTCGATTTAAATCTGTAATTTAGGTTAAATTTAAGATAATTTCGTAAATAAATATATAACATTAAATTAAATTTACTCGGAATTAAGGATCAATCCGTATGATTTTCTACGGTAATCAATAGAGGCTGGTGTATCCCCCATTTTCATAGCATCCCATAAGATTGATTCTATAAAATTGTTTTATTTTATTATAGAAAACAATTCGAGTTTTAATAATAAAATTTTAAGTAAAACTAAACATAATATTCTATAAAATTAATTATTCATTATTGACTTTATCGATTTTAGGAAACGTTAAATATCATACACACATTGTTTGAACGAGGAATGAAATTTCAAGAATTATTAATAATAAATTTTAATTAAAACATTTTAAAATATCTACATTTAATTAAAATATTTTCTTATAATTTCTTATAATATTTTCTTTTGATTAAAAAATTCTCTCTCTCTCTATATATATATAGGCTATATATTCTCATAATTATAATTTTAAGCATGATTTTTTATAATTTAATTTAATAGTTTTATTATTATAATTATGGAAATTTTATGGTAAATATTTAAATAATTCAGTTATTAATATTGAGCCGATTTATTTTTCTAAAATCTATTATATATTTTTGGAAAATTTATTAAAGATTTTTGCATCGATTTTATTCAATACAACGATATAAATTTAATATAAAAAATGATAATAATATATTTAAAATTTCATAAATATTTCATAAAATATTGAATATTTTATAAGTTATAGTAGCTTAAAAAATTATCTGAAAGTTTTACTCGTAAATCATCCTTTAAAATTTTGATAATACTGTATTTAACTATAAATCTTTCTTTTTAATCATCTTCATCCTTGTTTTCTATTACGCTTCCCAACATCTCTTGAGAGAAGAATAGAGATGTTAGATAACTTAGAAGAAGAATATAAAAAGAATTAAAGACAAGGCAGCTACAGAGAGAAATAATAAAGAACTTGAGATTGTTAGAGAATTGGAAGAATTCTTCTACTGAAAGAATATAGATGATGATGATGATGATAACTTTTAAAGATGAGTATATTTATAACATGCATCATTTTAAATTACTATATTTTAAAATAGATCATCATCTGTACTCTCATTACTCTTCTACGATTGTCTCTACTTTTTCATCTTTTCAATTGAATAGTTTTATTTAAATAATTTTAAAATATAATTTGCCTTATACAGATGATAAGAATCAAAATAAAATATTATTATGCTCTCTTGAAGCTTAAAATTAATATCTTTTATATAAAATAAAAGAAAAACGATGTAATTATTTATTTTAAAATAATTTTCTTAGTCAATTTCTGTATAAATTAATAACAAAATTTTTAAATATGTTTTACCTTATATATATGAAGAAATAATATAAAAATGAAAATTATAATAAATAATTATTAAATTTAATAAATTATAAAATTAAAATAAATATATATATTTTTAATACTAACTTTGTCGATAAATCTAGGAGAAGCAGTTATTCTGGATGAAGGAGAACTTGAAGGATTGCCTTTAGCAGGAGAAGATTTTAATACCCTGTTTCTTTGGTATTTAGGAGATTTGGTTTTAATCGGACGGAGGGTCCTTAGTTTTTTGGAGAAATAATCCATTCTAGTAAATAAATTTATATTTAAATATTTAATTAAATTAACTAAATATACAATTTAATAAATTGCTAAATTTCCGAAGTTTAAATAAGTTTTATCACTTAAATGCAACTACAAATATTTTATTCTTACCATAGACATATTTATCGATTTATATTATTTATTTATAATAATAAATATTAAAAATATCGTATATTATCTACGAAATGTATTATTTTCCTAGCTTATAAAAACTTAAGCAATTTATATTAGGGAAAAAATGATCGAGATACACAGAAATTAAAACACCAGTGATCGAGATATTTAATATTTGGTAAAATTCAATGCAAGGTGCTTTCACTGTATAGCTTCTATGCTTAAGGAGAAGCTACATTTGCAGGAGTTATTGAAAATTTTATTATAATTAAACGTATGTATAAATGATTTATTTTATATTTGATTTAATTTTTATGTTTTATCGAACATCCTACGATAAAAAAAAAATAAATTATGTAAATCTGATTTATTTTCCGCACTAATCTAGTAATAGATCTAATGTTTTTTCTTCTTCTTTTTTATATATTTTCCTTACAAATAACTTTAATAAAAGGAATGACATGACAAAATAGCTGCTATTAGATAAAGAACAAACTTATTTTTCCTTGTGAATAATGATAATTTCGTTCAGAAGTCATCGTAACGATATCCATTTATTAAAAATGTTGTGTCTGCAGTCGTTGAATAAAGACAATAACCAATGACCCAATACTGACAACTCCATTGAGAATAAACAGGGATTCTCGGCTGCAGAACATTGATTGCTCATGCAAATACTTTGCAATAAATAAATCTTCTAGATAATTAATTATTTTCTTTAAAAATACTCTTAAATTTCTTTAAAAAACAAGCACTAAATTTATTTAATATTCATAATTAATTGGAAAATAATGTTTAAACAAAGAAAACAACAATTTATTGGACGAACTTTTTAATTAATTCGCGAAAAAATAAACATTTTTACATACCTATCAAGTAAGATATAATTCATTACTTATATATTAAATCCATTTAAATTTATAAAATTTTATACGAAACGAGAATAAATAAAATATTTTAAAATTTTATATAAGCATTTAAATTAATTAATGTGTAAGATTTTTAACCTTAACAGAAATTTCGACCAGGTGAAGTCAATATTAAAGATGGGGATAAATGAAAATTTTCAGCATGATTATGATAGAATTTGGGGCGCTTATAGATAAAAAACTAAGCTACAATTAATGATTACCTGTACTCGAAGGGTTGGTACTGTACACTACACCATGGATAGCCTTAAGCCTAAACGCGGGTAAAGACAATTTATGGACACCGCTTCTGGGACGGGATCGATAGAGAATGTTAAGCTGCTCTCGGTGCTCGCGCACTTTTGAAGAGCGGCATGTTGCGTGCGCCACGAATCGCAGTTCAACTTGATCTACTGTGACGTCACTTCACGTATACCTCATAACAGGTATCATTACTATAATTAACTGGCAACAGTGATAAGAAATCGCATACGAGATCAAATTCAATTATGGCATTTTTTATTACTTATTGTTATCCGTATTCTTCGTTGAGGAAAAAATACATATATAATATCTAACTTAAAACATCCAAAATGATGAAATTTTATTAGTGCCACGCCTAAAATACGCCCGACTTTGGCATTTAGGCCACGGACAAATTTGATATCATCATCGTTTTGTGTAAGAAGAGTAATTAATTTGACCAGATTCTATAAAAAAAGAGTTTTTTTCTCCTCACTTTTTAAAGGAAAATGTACGAATTTTTCCCTGAGAAAATCTTCTCATCTTATAAAAATATCGCATAAAAGTATTAATTAATTAATGTTTAAATTTATTAACACGTAGAAAAATCTCTACAGATCAGTTTATTATAAATTTCTCTTAAAATTTTCTTTCATTTTAAAAAAATTATCATATAAATTAGCTTATTTATGCATTAAAATGAAATAAAATGTTATAACTAAACGCCAATATAGCCGCTATAAAAGAGACATAAAGAGAAAAATTTATAAACTATCTTATTTGATTAATGTCCTTAGAGATTGAGATATGCATCACACATCATTCTCGATTGTCTCCGTGAGATTTTTATCTCGAATATCTGGACAGGTGACGTGTTAACTCATCCGTGCCCGAACCCATTTTAGGATCTACCGTATAAATTACAAAATTAGCGATTGGTGCGAATAATATTAATTACCTCAGCCTAAATAAAGCTTAATTAATATCATTAAACGATGAAGTAGGCTTTATCATAATATTATTTTTATATATTTTAATTATCTAATTTGAATAATACCGCTCCATCGTCTCGTATAAGTTAGCCATTTCGTCATGCCATCTGACGAGTATTATTCAAACTAAATTTTTATTTATTTATTATTATTTTTTAAATTTTCTTTTTAATTTGATTAATATTAAAATAATAATTTTTATAATGTTTTGTAAATAAAATTTTATTTTAATTTAGTTATAATTTTAATTAAAATTACATTAAAATTTAATATTCTTTTTAATGGTATTTTTAAAATTAATACATTAATTATGCTTATAATGCCTTGTTATATTTAAATATTAATAATTAAATAACATAATTTATTCTGTTTTAATTAATTTAATTTTTTAATTAAAAAAACTGAATTATAATTAATACATATAATTCAAATATTTATAATTTTATTATTTAAATATTTTAAATTTAAAACTTATAAATTTTTCCTTATTTAAACAGGAAATTCTATTTTTTTTATTTTNAACTATATAATGGTAAACAACTATTATTTGCATTCATTCTTATCACTTTTTTAATTACTTGGGTGGAGTTATATTTAATTACAAGCTGTATTTTGCAATATTTTTCAGAAAAATATAATTATTTTAAAGATAAGAGGAGAAAATTTTAGCATAAATTTTATATATCAATAGTTAAATCCTGCATCTACATAAATTAAATTAAATTTGAAAGGTGTAACCTATAAAGTGTTTTTATAGGAAATTTGTATGGTATCATTATTGACAAGAACTTTATTTGTAGCTGTTAAACTTATTATAAATAACCTTGAATGGATTCTGATGTAATTTTCATATTGTTTTTTTTTATTTTGCTTTTTTTCCCCTTCTATAGCTTTTAGTCGTTATCTTGATGTATGGTTCTGAAGGATACAGTTTTAAGTGGACAACATGGCCGAAATCAAATATAAATCGTCAAATATTTTTGTTAATCAGAACAATAATAAGGACCAAATTACAGAAAATGGTGTGGAGGAAACAAAAAATTTACACAGTACGCAGTTTAAGCCACCTGATGGAGGTTGGGGTTGGGTCGTTGTTTTTGCTTCATTTATGGTCAGCTTCGTTGCCGATGGAATAACCCATTCATTTGGTCTGCTGTTCGTGGAGTTTTTCGATTTTTTCGGTGCTTCCAAATCGACTACGGCATGGGCTGGATCCCTATTCTTCAGTCTTCCTTTGTTAACAGGACCCATAGCTAGTTATTTTACCGATAGATGGGGATGCAGAATGGTTACCATCATAGGTTCACTGATCACGACTTTCGCCTTCGCTGCTGGCTTCTTAGCGACCAGATTGGATCATTTAATTATAGCATTTAGTATCTCGGCGTTGGGTCTATCACTTTGTTACGTCGCTTCGATAGTTATTGTGGCTTATTACTTCGACAGAAAGCGTTCGCTAGCTAATGGATTAGCAACATGTGGTGCAGGAGTAGGAACGATCGCCTTTCCTTACATAACTAATTATCTAATAAAAATATATACTTGGAGAGGTACTCTTTTGTTATTAGCTGGTGCGTTTTTAAACATGACGGTATTTGGATGTCTAATGCGCGATTTAGATTACCCTGAAGATTTGTCGTCTTCGTCGTCAGATAATGATGAACGCAAGAGCAATCTTTCAGATAGTCAAATAGAAGAATCCTTAAGTACATCTCTAGTGCAACTTCCGACTTATATTAAAAATAAAAATCTAAATCCTGAAGTAATTGAAGAATTAAGTAGTAAAGAAGGAGGCCATTTAAATAGTCTTCTGGAGCAACATCCTGATCTCCTCAGTTCCTATTTGCAAAACATGGAAGATTCCTTACCCGTTCGAGATATAAAGAGCGGGGATGGCGAATGTCTATCTGGCGTAAAATTAAGACGTCGAGAAAAACAATTAAGTGCTCATCAAAAAGAGCAGCAATGTCCACTTATGCCAGGATTTTATATCTGTCAACGTCATCCCTCATATTTCCGTAATATTCGAATTCATCCCGGTAATTTAATGTATCGTGGAGCCATGTTGAATATACCACCTTATTATTTAAGAACTTCAAGTTGCCCTAATATCTATAAAAATTATTTGTCAGGAAAAATTAAAGGAGAGGTAAGTTGATGCATTTAATATAATAATCTTTCATACATTTGTATGAATAAATATGTTGCTTTTCAGAAATACCAGTTCCTAAGCGGACTTAAAGAACTTCTACTAGATATGGTTGATATAAGGATATTCAAAAACGTTCCTTACACTGTTTTTTGTCTTTCAAATCTTCTCCTTTATGCATGCGCAGATATTCCCTATGTATATATCCCCGATTATGTCGAAGGTTTAGATCCGAATTTAAACTGGGTATCATCATCCCTTATTTCAATTTTAGGTGTTTTTAATACTGTTGGAATGGTAAGATGATTGTTACTTTCTATTTAAATAAGAATTTGTAAAAAGTATTTAAAACGTTAACTTTTGTAGATAATATTTGGATATGTAGGTGATAAATCTTTCGTAGATCCGTCATTGGTTTACGCAATTACTATGTGTGTAAGTGGAATTGCCATAGGCTGTCTACCATTTTTGAAGAATTACATCGGCATGGCAATCGCAGTATCTACTTATGGATTTACTGTAAGCACCAACTATGCCTTAACCGCTTCTTTACTTGTAGAATTAATCTCTCTTGACAATTTCACCAATGCTTATGGTTTGTTGTTATCTGTGCAAGGTATAGCAACCCTCGTTGGACCACCTTTTGGAGGTAATGTTACAATTCTTCATGTTTTGGATCTATTTGTATTAATACAAATTTATACAATAAAATAATATTTTTTAGGATAATACAAATAAAAACTTTGGATTCCAAGTACAGTTCACTCGGCGATCGAATTATCACATTGAGAATTATAGTAAAATATGAATTAACTATTTTTAAATTTAATTTTTTCTAGGTTGGTTATATGATACATACGGCTCATACGACATACCTTTCTGTACAGCAGGAATCTGTACACTTCTGTCCGGCCTTGTTGTATTACCTTTATGTAAGAAGCTGAAGTGGAGAAAAATAAACTCGACGAAACCACCCACATCCGAAGATGTAATATGAGTTATTTAAAGCGATGCATTTAGTTCACTCTTAAAGATTACAAAGAGTAAATTATGGTATTAAATTCGAACCTTATATCGCAACTAAACAATGCTAAACAGTAATAAATAAATTCTATTTTAGATTCACTGTCGAAGATTTCATCTTAACCTCAATATGAAGAAATGTAAATGAAATCTTGGGTTTTAAATATTTTGGGTAAATAAAATAAACCAGACGTGAATTTCTGTTAACGTTTTTTTCAACCATTGTGTAAAATAAATATGTATTTTAGTAATAAAATGTAAGTTATTTACGATACGTATTATTTTTTTCAGTAGTTTTTAAAGTAAATGTTTTGCATTAAGAGAATATTCATTTTAAAATGTTAATTTTTACGGTTGCGCCAATGTACAGATGTGATTTACACGTGGTTAGCATTTGGTAACATCCGTTTCTGTATTTAGAAACCTTCAAACTAGATAAACTGGAATGTAGCGTGAAAAATTTATGTAATTTATACGATTAAAAATAATTTTTAGTTCAAGTTGACTGAATACATATGAATTTTTTTTTTAATGGAGTAAATCCTTAAAACATCCATATTTGAAAAAACAAAACAAAAATATTAAATAATGAACTTTTTTAAAAATTTATTTACAAAATAAATGCTTTAAAATGTGTGAGAGAGATTGCGTCATCAAATCAATAACAACCATACGTTCTCGTTATAAATTGCAGTTATCGTTGAAAACGAGAGTTTCGTCATTGCCTAATTACGTTTGGTATTTGAAATTATTAACGTCATTATATAATAATAATTTCTCAATATATTTCAACTACATACATAATTAGTAATTTTTAAATATTTCGAAATATTAATGTAAATTTTATTTTTAAAAAATATTTCCTTTATTAATAAGCAAATACAACCGAACAAGTCGAATAACGAAATTCTCGTTTTAAACGAGAACTAATCATTTGACATGATCTTAATAATGTTCAATACAGAATATAATTAGTAATTTTAAAATATTTTGAGATTTTTACGAGCTTCAAAATTTGTTATAACAAATTTTTATACATCTTTAAATAAAATTTGAAAAAAAAAATTAAATTGCTATAATCTTAGAGGGCGCGATTTATTAGAAATGGCGGAGGTTTGTTCAATAAGAACAATGTTTATAAATTTAAAATTTTAATTCAAATAAATATATAAAACCTCGTGGTACGCATAAATAACAGTATATTATGTTTGAAACAGAATAAAATTTAAGTTTTAATTCAATTATATGCAATTTAAATCAAGGTAATATTGTTGATATGTTTAAAATATATAAAATGGCACAAAAGTTAGTTAACCGTGGTTTATTTAAGATTATATTTATGAATATGACACTTAAGGTGAGTTTAGAATGGCTTACTTTTTTCCTAAACTGTCAAAGAATTATACAAATTATTGTAATGATACAATTGGTTACAAGATGATAAATTTAGACTTTACGATGGTTAACTGACTTTTGGGCAATCTTTTGCATTACCTAACGATTTCCTTATACGTGGTAAATTTGTGTGCTAATAAATAAAGATAAATGAAGTATTTTTAAACGCTTAAATGCGTTATAATGTTTATTTGTCATTACAGAGAATCATTTATGTTTCTTTTTGATTTCAGGTAAAAGTTAACGTTCTTTTAAGTTTAGTCAAAATAATGATAATTTTTGTTTGAATCAATAAAATGGAACCAGAAGGCAAAATCATATCTAAAATTCCAATAGATAGTGGATATGGATGGGTAATTGTATTGTCATGTTTTGTAATAAGTCTTCTAATCGCTGGTATATATTCCTCTTTTGGAATACTTTATGTTGAATTTTTAAAATATTTTGGACAGGGTAAAGCGATTACATCCATAATTGGTTCCTTTTTCTTTAGTCTTCCGCTTTTAAATGGTCCTCTTGCTAGATTTTGCGAAAACAAATGGGGATGTCGACTCACTTGTATTGTTGGAGCTATTATATCAGGTTTTAGTTTCTCTGCTCTATATTTTGCTAGATCCATTACCGATGTTATCATATGTTTAACATTATGTGGTTTTGGACTGTCTCTCTGTTTGCTTTCTTCAGTTGTTATTTTGATAATTTATTTTGATAAGAAATTTTCTTTTGCATCAGGACTTTCTGTATGTGGTGAAGGAATTGGATCTTTTATATTTCCTCCTCTAACAATATATTTGTTAGATACTTTTGCTTGGCGAGGAACTGCTTTAATCTTAGGAGGTATCTTGCTTAATTTGTCTGTTTGTGGTTGTTTAATAAGAGATGCTGGATTTTATATTAAGAAAACAAAGAAAAATCCTCCTGAAACAACCGATGATGCAAGGATAAATGTAAAGAGACCATTAGTTAGAGGGTTTTCAAGCGAACCAATCGTAAATCCATTTCATTCTTCAAAAAATGTTATCACGAGTACTCATTCACTGCAAAAATCAATGAATTTAATTGAAACAAATAGTCTTTCAAATATACGTCTACGAGGAAGCCATTACACTATTAATGTTTTAAAATCACATCTTGGTAGAGAATCAATCATAAAATCATCTAACAACACGGCGAGATGTAAGAAAATCAATAGAATGCAGGTAATCTCTATAGGATAGATAAAACTTTATGAATAACAGATTAAAGTTTACTTATTTTTTATTTTTTAGGAGATCAAAAAAGCACTTCGTGAATTGAATAAAACATTATTTACACTTTTTAAATATAAATCTTTCTCGATATTTTGCTTATCGAACGTTTTGCTCTATGCTTTTATCGAAATGCCTAATATTTATTTACATGATTACGCAGTTGGAAAAGGCTTCGATGAAAAAAAATCAGCCTTCCTTTTATCTGTTATTGGCCTTCTAAATACAGTTGGAACGGTGAGTTATTATTAAGCAGTTCTATAGGGTGTGCCAGAAAGACATGATGGTTTTTAAAATAAAGTAACACTTCAGGAGAAAGGGTAAATATTTATTGCTTTGAACAGATACATTTTTTTTTTTTTTGTAAAGAAAAATGAATGTTTATTACTGTTATGTCTTAAAGGTAACATTTTGTAAATGGCCACCTGCAAATTAAAATTTAAAACTCAAGTGTTTCTGGCGCATCCTGTATTTCATAAGCAGCAAATAAATTTATTAATTTTGCAAAATATATTACATGTATGATTCATAATTAAAATTTTATTGCATTAAAAATTAAAATAATTAACTTTTTATTTAAATCGTTTATACAGATTGTGAAAAGTACAGGTAAATCTTTGAATTATTTACACAATTATGTTTTTTTAATTTGTCATTCTTTAAATATAAATATTTTAGGAAGATATAATTACATTTAACACAAATAAATTAAACTATGATTTATCCTTCTGCTTCTATTTCGTTTTTTTTTTTATTTCAATATATAACCAGTTCAGACACCGTTATTTTCATATCCATATCCAGTTCAGACACCGTTATTATCATATCCATAGACTCCAAAAATACTAGCCGATCAACAACTTTATTTTACCCAGATGCATTTCAGAAATTACAATATTTTCCTCCTCAGCGGGGTTTTTTCAATACAAGCTAAACAAGGCACAAATAACTTTTCCAATACACTCACGGTTAGAAATTTTCAATATTTCAACCGTTTTTTACTAATTTCCATAATAAAATCATGTTTTTTCCTGTGTTATTTTCCTTAATCATACATACGCGTATTATCCACAATTTTTGCCGTCAGTACCTTTATTCGTTATTTTTTTTTATCTTATTCATCAACATTCCTACTACAACCGGAGTGTTGGTGAATGAGGTGAAAAATAAGATGATATTCTGTTAATTTAATTGAATCGTATTTGCTACCTCTAGCATTTATTTCCCCCTCTCATAGAATCAATTTTACTGTTTATAAAGGAAATTCGACAGCGAGAATTGTAAATTGTATCTTTCATCTACGTTATAACGAAACGACATGACGTCTAAAATCGTAGAAGACTTACACGATCTCTGAAAATTCTGTTATGTAAATTGCCTCCGTAAATAGTTCTCACGCATTCTTTCCATTCTGCGTAACACATTACGCCCAATGACTCCATTACTTAACGTAGATAAAGGAAAATAATGACTTCTGATGAGTAGTAATCAAAGACGAACATAACGCGCTTAGACTATCCACCGGACAAGTCTAAATGTGTATTACTACTACACATTTTTGACATAAACTCGGGCCAATCTGAATTTTCGTTCTTGCAAACGGTTTTAACTTTACGCCTGAGTTTAAACAATCTGTCCATCGAGTCTCAAAATCTGTCCTTGGAGTCTCAAAACTCGCTATTTTGAGACTCCAAGGGCTGATATAAGAATAGCTAACTCTAATATACAGTTTCACGTTATTCTAAACTGTTAAATAGGCTACTTATAGATGTTCTAAGATGAGGATGATCAGATATTTCACCGAAATTTTTTTTTTTTTTTTTTTTTTTTAATTTTATGAAAAGTATTACCGTTTTGAAATATGCAGCAATTTGATTTATTTGTAAAGATGGTACCGAGTTTTGTGAACTTTAATGTCTAATGCGCACAATTTTATTAATAAAATATATTTAACTAACAGTGTTGCTCGGGCAAAAAGTAACGATAGCGAAAATTAAGATTATTAGATTATAGCCAATCTTATCCGTTTTTACCGGGTGCAAGAATTAGGTTCACCCTCTTCCGAAACTAATTAGAGAATTTTTAGATGGATCTGAAAACATGTTCGATTTCTCGTAAAACACCCCGCATTTAAAATAGTACAGTAAAATTCGGAGTAATCCTTTACCCTCCCTCTCCTCCGCGGGGGAAATTTCGGAAAGTCTGTTCTTTGTCTACATTCTCATGACGTAGCCTAACTGTGTACTAAATTTCAATTTTCAACTCCTAACGTTTGGGCTCTACGCTGATTATTATTATTATTATTATTAACCCATCTCGATTATAAGATTTGAATGCTAATGAATAATTAAACAAAGTATAGTAACGATTACAATGTAAATTGATATTCTTTTTAAAATAACTTTTTTTTTTTTTTTTTGTATACGGCAATACATGTGGGTAATGCCGCTCAGGAGGACTTTCTGTGGAAAGCTGGCTCCTATTTAGGTGTAAAAACGTGAAGAAAATCGGAAAAACACTTGGCCAGCTTATGTTTTCCCGATTTTCTCCATGTTTGAACCCATGATCAATTAGTCAATTACAAATGGTTCAACGGTTTTAGCCACTCGGCCTCTGGGTAGGCTTAAAATAATTTGAACTTATCAACTAAATGTAAGTTTTCTACAACTAACTATAAGTTATTTCTTACGCTTTTTATTACGAATAGGAAATGTATAATAAAGCAAATAAAGAAAATTATTCCTTATTATCAATATCATTAACGTGTAATCGTAAGCAATAAAATAAATATATACAAGTACAGTACAACCGAAAATATTGTGTATTTCTGTTATAATAGGTAGTCCCGATTTACTATGGTGATCTGTTCTGGGATTTTCCACGAGTCAAACATAAAAATAATAGTGATAATAAGGTATAGTTTCCAAAATATTGCATATGTATGTACTGTATATTATAATCCTTATTAGGATACGTACCGCATTACGTAATCCGTGTTATGTATTCGTTATCGAGTGTACAGTACGTATCGTAATACAATACAATAACGTTGTTAATGCATGTTTTATTTTAAATACAGTATTTAATATTTTAATTAATTAACTATAGTGTTTTATTAACAAAGTTCACAGACACAGGCAGGTATTTAATCATGTTTAAAGAAATTACAAATTATAGTAACGGAGTATTGAAATTTTCGTGTGGGATTGATTTTACTTTTATTGATTTAATTTAACATTCATTTTAAATAATATTATTATCTAAGAATAAAATGATAGTCTAGGAACGAGCAACTCCTCATAAAGTTTTTTTTTTTTGGGGGCGATTCGAACACAAGTTTTAGTTAAATATGAATAAACTAACGAATTATTGTCGTATTTATTGCCTATTATAAATTAAATTTAACATTTAATTGTTGTACCTTTACAATTGTAATTGTTGTGGGATTAGTTGTAGTGACGCATCCAAAGAAAAATCTCAAAAATTAAAAATTTTGAATTAACCTGTGCAAAATAAACAATATTTGCCATTATAATTGTTTTTAAAAACAAATGTTTTGAAGGTCGAACAACAAAAAAAATTACTTTTTGTGTTAATGGGAGAGCTGTAGCGCCCCATGGATCCGTCCATGATTGGCTAGTGCACTATGTCATTACTAGATTTTATTATTATGTAAATTATTGTGGGTAGTTCAACAGAAGTCGGCTACAGGGAGAGTAAAAATTCCGATTCCTGCAGTGTAGCCAATGTGAGGGGCCTACACACTGGGAGGAAATCCTCTGAGGAATAACTGCGCAGGCACATCCTTAAGGAATTGCAGAATTTCTGTCTCCCACACATGTGAACCTGTTCTCAGAATTGAAGTTAGTACCTAAAGATTGGCACAATTGAGGATGGATGAAGAAACTTATTTAAATTTGTTATCGTTGGTTATACCAATCATAAAAAACACTACTATATTTTTTAAAAATATAATAGTGTTTTATATTTTAATATAATAAACTTATTACAACAGTTTCTTTGTTAGCATTTGGCTCAATGTCCTTCTATTTTTTGATTAATCGTGAATAGGCAATTTTGGTTTTGTCATGATAATCTTTATTTTTAATACGCCAAATGCATGGTTTAATTTTTCATAAATCTTTATAAATTCTTTCAAACGCTCATGGGACATTGTTTTCAATCAGCTGCCTCACAACTGAACGGAAACGACGTCACACGCCAAAGCTGTACAGTTTCCTCCACACCCAAATAGGAATTCCTGAAGGCCAGGGCTGCGCAGTTATTCTTCAGAGAATATCCTCTTCGTGTATGGGCCCATTTATAAACACATACTGAAGCGGTGAACGAAACAGCAAGAATACAAGCATAGTGACACATAATAGCAAAGAAAACGTTTGAACAAGTTTGATTTTTCTATTTTTATCGTCATTCACACGTATAGATTTAAATGGATATCGACTCATTTCCGGGGACAGAGGGTCAAAAACAGGGACTGTCCCGGAAATCGGGGATGGATGGTCACTCAATTTTAGATAAACTGAGTGATGCTGCATTTTGTCCAAAATATAAACCGTTCGAAAATATGAATGACACTTGTCCGGATGTTTATGTAGTTGTGCACGCAAATGATTAAATTAGCTATGTATACGTCTACTTTTATTTAAGAACATTAAAGCTCTACTTTTATGCTTAATAAATAACAAATTTTATGGACTAATTTTCTATTACTAGCAAATCCATAGTTTTGGACGTAGTTCTCAGTCGATTTTAAAAGTCTTTAGTATATGTATGGGAGTACATCATCCTACAGAACTCGTATTTTGCTGGTTTGCTCAGCGTTTAGTTATGAGTTGACCTTTTAAAGGAGTGTTGTGAGGTATGCGCTTGTCAACTGTGGCACTTTTTCGTCGTTGTAGATATTTTTTATTGTTCTTTGAAATGTTTTTAAAAAATAGCGCAGGTTTTAAATGAAAATATTTTATTTATTTAAGTCGACTTTCTTATTTAAAAAAATAATGGGATTCCAAGTACAGTTCACTCGGCGATCGAATTANCGAAAGTCTTCCTGGGAGGCACCTCGTTGGCAGATCACCCACGTATTTCATTACCTCATTCCACTAAACCAAACCTAAATTACATTCCTAATGTAATATAATTTTTCAAAATTAACGTGCATAGGGCCATGTGAATTTCATTGAATTCCGTTATGTAAATCTAAGAACATTACAGCTAAA